GTGGAGTCTTTCAAACACAAACTATAAGAGCACTTCCTGTCGAACGCGTTGGATAGTTAATCGGTAACATATTTTCAGACAAGTAATCTGTTATTATAATATATATTCTGCTTATGTATGTATTTATGTATAAAAATTCATGTCTAGAAGTAGTAAGTATAAGTTTATTTAGGTATATTTATATATACATATATCTACGTAGGTATAATATATCATTATTTTTTAAATATTTTATAAATTACTATGTGTCTTTATTTAATTTTTTTATTTTGTGTTTTTTTTTATTTATACAATTTAATTTTTTTTTATTTTTATTTTTATATTTGTAAAATTGGCACACTACGTCTCCCGCTCCGATTAGCTTTCCTCTAACTCTAAGGTTGTCTGGAAGAGATCGCTCTTAGCGATAAGACCGCCCTTGCCCACATTAGTTTTAAGTTGTTTATGTACTATTCTAGTTCTTGTGTGTTAGCAATAAAGTGTTTATCTATCTATCTATGTGTATGTCTGTCGTACATATTATCATCTTTTATATTTTATTCACATTTAAATTTCAATTTTGTTGCACAATAATTCATTTTTGCACCACGGCTAGGGTTGGCTGGAAGAGATCTCTTATAAAGATAAGCTGATCTTTGTACATGTCCATTGTAACGTGTGTTTTATGTGTTTTCTCTTTGTACAATAAGGAATATAATCATGGATACCAGGTTATGTGAGGAACTAGTCGTACGCCTGATAGCAAGCTACACGTCTGTCCATAACAGTTACTAAAAAAGATCTTTGTGATTTAAAGTTCTGAGTGGCACTGCAACTGTTATAGACAGGCGTGTCGCTTACAAACAGGCGCACCACTTTTTCGTTCCGCCGGTTGGTATCATAAAGAAAAATGATATAATTAATTTGGACTCACCAGTAGCGCCGAAGAACATATTGAACAGTTCTTCAGCAGTCAGATCAGATTCGAAGCCACGAGCGTAATACTGGTGGTGCGAATGCGTGGAATGCACTGCTTCCTTGTCTCTCATATCGTACTGTCTACGTTTTTCTACGTCCGTTAGGATCGCTGCAGCGTTGCCGATGGCCTGCAGAAAAGAAATTGACTTGCTGAAAATCATCGCCACGCCACGGTTAAAGACCGATTGTGGAAGCGATGAACTCCCGATTGTGTCAGCCGCAACACGAATAACGGTATAAATTAGGTAAATTGTTTTAATATTCTTTATTATAGTTCATTTTTGTTTATATGCGTGTCTGGACTTTTTTATTAAACAGTTTTCTTTCTATCTTTCTTACTTTCCAAATTATATAAATAAAGACGATTTTAGGTGTTGCTTTCTTGGATGTAACGAAATAGTAGTCAGGAACAGAAGTCATACATTTATTTTCAGATAAGTCTACTATTGTACATTTTTTGGTCTCTCAACTTGTCTGGCACGGTATGCAAGAAGACGTCGGTTCGAATCCGACCGGATTGAAGGATTTTTTTCTGAGTGTTCGATCTGTGTATTAATGATTTAAATAGTACATTAAAAATATTTTGATCGAAAAGTCATATTACAAAATTGAAGACTACGTGTTAGATAAAGATGTATGGAAAGACGACACGGCTCCAGATTCCACACAAATTTGATTCAAAGTGTATTCCATAGCATTTAAGTTTATTTGAAACGAGCAATCCCTAGAGTTTCTTGCTCGTTCTTCTCAGGGAGGTCAGCGTAGTGAACGAGCAGTAGCTTAAATGGAATAAATAATCTTTGACTTTGACCATACCTTGAAAGCCTCGGCAGCACCCGGGGCACGGTTTTTATCAGGGTGCAGCTGTAGAGCTAGTTTCTTGTATGACTTCTTGATGTCAGAGTCGGTTGCTTCTTTGGTCACACCTGAAAAAGAATAATAATTCTTCTAAAATTACAAGTTATAAAGGACGTATACAAAGGTGAGCTTATCTCTAGACGAGAGCTCTTCCAGCCAACCCCAGCAGTGGTGAATAAACTAAGTCTGCGGGACATTATTGTACAACACATTTGTTAAAATTCAACAGTAAATATAATCATCAATGGCGACAATATAAATATGGCCGAGATAATAAATACATTCGTACACAATATATGTATATAAATAACAAATAACACACAATAACGCACACACTCAACATAGCCCCGCACTAGGGAAAACCTGTGTCGTGGGTGTCATGGACACACACATAGACAACCACAAATTACACCCAAACTTACGAGAGTAATAAATGGAAGCCATACAAATATTTCTCTCGGCCCGGGAATCGAACCTGGCACCTCTGCGTGACAGGCATAATAACTATATAATTAATCAGAACAAATTATTAGTTTATTTATTACTGATTAACTTCCGAGTTTAACCGGAAGTGCTCTTTTAATTTGCGTTTGAATGATGCAACCGATGGACTGTCACGAATTTATTCCACATACGAGCTGCACTAAAAGGAATAGTGGAAAAAATTGGAATTGGATTGGGGGCATAAAAGTGTTCCAGTGTCACAGGTTCGTTTTGGGTATAATTTAATCCAAAACAAGTAAGACAAATGTAAAGATATGTAAGATAATGTTAAAATAAACAATAAAAAAGAAATCATAGTTTATTAACCGATTTCAAAAAAGGAGTTAAAGTAGGTTCTCAATTGGGCTGTATTTTTGTGTGTGTGTGTGTGTGTTACGCCAATACTCCGGTTTTTTAACATTTCTGAACCGATTTTGATGATATTTGTTGGAAAGAGGGTACCAGTATTCGTCCAATTTAAATTTGAAGAAACTATTCCACCTCTAAGGGTAACAAACTAGGATATGAATTCGGTTTTTCGCTTTTCCCGGTAACCGATTACAATAAAACTTGGCAAATAGGTGTAATTTCACGAACTTTTGAGGTCAAAGATGTCGAACACTGGTGGTTGCCGGTCGCTGGCGCCACCCTACATCATCTTCCACACGTCAACTATATTTAGATGTATTACTAGAGATGGGAAAAACTGTTTATTTTTTTAAACGTTTAAACGTTATGCTTTTTTAAAAAAAGCGTGCTTTTTTTAAACGCTATTATTAGCTTCAAAAGCTAATAAAATCTTTTAGAAAAGGTTTAGGCGCATAGACTTTTATGCTAAAAAAAGCTTGCAACGTTGTGTTGATAGCGAACCGCAAGAGTAGACCACTAAAGGCTTTAAGATAAGTAAGTTTTTTTTTGTAAAAAATGAGTTATATTTTTATTTGTGACATAACATTATTATACCGGGTGGAAATTTGTAATGCCACCTGGAGGGAAAGTACTCTAAATACTGGAGATAGAAATTTTTACTTAAAGGAAACATTCCTTTATTTTTTAAAAGAAAAAAAACTGCATTCATAGATTTTCGAAAATTTCTAGCAACACGCGGGAATCGAGCCCGATTTAATCTGAAAATAATGCACCCTGCACTTTTCTTGCATCGATCTATAGGGTTAATTATAAGAACAAAATCTCTCTCACAAAATTGGTTAATTAAATTAAATAAAAAAACGATGAAATCTTAACGTATTTTAATAAAACGAAAAAAATGGCAATCTAACTAATTAGTTGCTCGAATTTAGCTCCATTTCCTTGGATACACAAATTTAATCTTTTAACGAATTCATTTTGAGTAACTGTTAATAACGTGTTGTGATGAATTGTATTACAAATCGTATTCTGAAACTCAGCCTTTAAAATAATACGCAGTGCTTTGAATCGAGTAAATATTTAATTAACCGCGGATATTCATGGAAGACAGTCGCCTACAATGAACGCGCGGGTGGCTTGCTGACGTGTTATTCCGCTCTGGTGCTAGGCGCGGACGGTCCGCAAGTAAGCCGTCCATCCGCACTGCTCTGAAATGAAGTTGGAAGCTATGTCCGGGCATTGTCACAGGACACTACGACCGACATCTCCGGTACTAGCGCGGTGAGCTAGTAGAGGATGAGAGCTAGACATTCTCCGGTCCCACCGGCGCAGGGAGATCACCGTGCCTACAGCTCCGCCACTGAAGAAGATATTTGGTAGTGGTAACCTCGTCCGACGCACTAGCTTTTCGAGACTCGGATGAAGTTAGTGACAATTCTGTGCAAACGTGCTGATCTGGGGTCAGGACCTGAACTTAGAAGCTCCCTGTGCTTTTTTTTTTCTTTATATATTTAGGGACTGTAGTCTAGGCTCTACTCTATGAGTAGAATTGCTGGCTGAATATAGGTAGTGATTATAGTTTTATATTTAGAATGTTAAGGAAATAAGAAAACAGAAGATCTTGACATATTAGATTATTGATTTGTAACCTGAAAGTGAAAATGTGTAAAATGGTGAAATAAACCAAAGTTCTTAAGATGATCCCGGTTTATATTCCTAGAAGTACCTCTCGCTACGCATTAGAGCTACCCCCCAGTTACAGGACTTTGATCGATACTGAACGTGTCAGCCTTGTTAGAATACAATAATTCTAGAAAACATTTAATAAAATCCAGACAGATAAAGCAAGGGCCTTGTGCTTGCACAGGTTATAGTGTCCTTCTCGTATACCCTAAGGATCGGTAGGGAGGGTCACACTATAATAAAAACTTATACAGAAAGGAACGGGTGAGGTCTTGAGGGTTTGGTCTGTAATCCCCACAGGCCATACACGGATTGGTAACTTCACACACATTATTAAATTGCTTTTCTTATCTCGAATGTTTTCCTTTACTGAAAGCCCATTATAAATTTTAGATTCAATTTTGCAGATGAATATCGAAAAACTCAAGAGGCGCAAGCCTGGATTCGAAACCTGTGACCCACTGCTTTGCCTACATTCGCTCTTATAAATTTCTGTCGTAATATTTGATGTTCATTGTTTCTGTATGACGAAACCAAATTATCTATCTATAATTAGATTCAAATTCAAATAATCTGGCAAGTCATTTATTACGCATTTCTTACGTCACGCAATGGTGACAAATTGCTTTATAATATATTTATATTTTGTATACATATACTAAGTATATAAGGGTGCTGGTGAAATGGCAGGCACATGGGACTTGTCAACTTATGTCTCAGGGTGACGGGCGCAGAGGCAGTGCCCCTCAGATCTTTGCGATTTAAAGCTCTGAGTGGCACTGCAACTGTTACGGATTGTGTCGCTTACAACCAGTTGCAATCCTTATTCGTCCTTTCAATTGGTATTATAAAAAAAATATCTGTTATATACTTATTTATTTATTAAACTTTATTGACCACAACACATAGTGGTAGAAAAGGCGGACTTAATGCTAAAAGCATTCTCTTACAGTCAAGTAACGAAATTCACGAACGCGACAAATTAAATTAAATATTACGTTAATAATAACCAGTGGTCGGAATAGGTAGACTATATTTACCTAAACATCGAGGAACAGAGACAGAAATTGGAGACTTCCTTACCGCAATTTTTTTTTTGTTCCGGACTTTTTTGGGATTCGGAGCATCTCTTAAGTACATTAAAAATTAATGTTATTTAATAACGCACACACTTAACCCACACTAGGAAACCCTGTGTCGCGGGTGCCATGGACACACACATAGACAATCACAAATTACACTCAAACTTACGAGAGAAATAAATGTAGGCTATACAAATATTTCTCCCGGCCCGGGAATCGAACCTGGGACCTCTGAGTGGCAATCAGGCATGGTAACTGTTCGGCCACGGAGGCAGGAGGTAGGTATATTGTATGTATACTATATTTATCTAAACTTTGCGATGACTTGTTGCAGACATTTTTCGGAATATTTAAGGAAAATCCGACATAAAAGTATTCTTACTTAATACATGCCATTACAATTATTAAGTATGTCGTTGTCCATCCTTATGTCGTTGATATACCATTCACACTAAGCGCTTTGCTTCCTCGTTTCTGAGGCGTACGGAAAAGGAATTGAATACTCTACTGTGTTTCCCGAAAACGACAATTTGGGGCTATTCAAGGCTAGAGTGAATAGGTATTTTTTAGGC